GCACCACAGGCCTTTGCCAACGACCCAGCCCACCTCTTTCTTTTTCTCCCCTTTCTGTTTTTATCTCTCCGTCCTCTGACACTCCCCCTCCTCTCTCTTCCTCTCTCTCCGGGTCAGCGGGGCCCTGTGAAGGTCACCCGCTCTTTATACCATTGCCATTAAAGAGGTCATATTTCTTCACACCGCTGTTTGCAGATGAGGCTCAGATGGGCTGCGGGGTTAGAGTGAGTTTTAGCTTGTGCTGAGAGGGTCATGGACTGATTGTGGTATGCCCACATACCAGGCTGTTTTCAGGGAAATGGCTTCGGGGGGCAGCACAAAAAAGCTTGGCATCTCAAGTCTGGCAGCGTGCGGACAGAGAGGCTTTCATAAATTCTCAATAGATAGTGTTGAGGTGCTCAATCGCTCGCTCTCACTTTCCTCTTTCTGTCTTTCAGCTGGTTAGCGCCTGAGTTTCCCATGGTGTTCTCCGATTGGTTTAGCCTTTAAGCACCGGTTTGCATGTGTGTTTGTCTGTGTTTGTGTGTGTTTCCCATGTCTGTTAAGCCCATGACCTCCTTTCACATCTCCTCATTAGCATGTGAATCCCCCCTCCACAAGTAGGCCAGAGTGGAGGGACAGAGAAAGAGAAGGAAGGAGAGGGAGGAGAAAATGGAAAAGCAGAGGAGAAGCTGGCATGAGAGAGAAAGCATGATCCAGTTTCAGAAAAAGTTGTTTGCCCCATCTCAGTGTTTACCCAACGCAACTCATTTTGTTCATGGAGGCATGGAGGTTCTCTGTGTGTTTAAGGTATAAACTGTACCCAATTGAGTTCACAGAGGCATTAAGCTTAAAGACAGAAAACAGACACGCACATTGCCCCTGTAAGTCTGTGTGAACAGGCTCACCCAAAGCTAACCCTGCCTGTTGTGTGGACAGTGTGGTTCTCAGACACCACCAAAGCCTGGCCCAGCCCTGTGTGGGCCCACCAGCAGCTTGTCCAGCCCTGGCGCTGCACCCTGTTTGTGCAGGTGTCTGCCTCAGTGACCATCCCATCTGCTGCCCTCTGCCACACACTGGAGAGAGAGACAGTCTGCTTCCATTACACTGGAACAACAAATCACAGATAAATGATTGAAACTCTTTGCGCCATTTTAGCGGTTTTCAGCTGTTTTTGGTAAGTAGAAGGAGCTAGCCTTGAGGTCCATTTAGCAGCTGTTCTGGAGCTTTAGATCACATCATGTGAGCTTCATCAGCAAACTGAGTATCCCTAGTTTCCATTTTTTTATGAGCACTTGCCTGTTAGGAAAGCTGAGTTTTGAGGCGCGTTGTCAGGGTTTGGCTGCGGTCCGCGAGACGTCACCGCTACCCACTTGAGGGCAGGCTGCTTAGCCTTTGGACCTACTCCTGAGAAGGTCCATCTCCGCCGCAGCTTAGCGTGGCACGGTGCGTCTAAACTGATATGGAAACAAAAATTGGTGCAACCAAGAGTGCCAATTGAAAAAGGTACTAGATAGCCACTTAGCACATTAACGTTATTGTGTGCTAGTGACCAATAATGGAAAGAATTACAAACCATTTCTGCTGAAGAGTAAAATGGCTAAGAAAAATAATCTCACCTAATACAACAGGTTTGTTTTGATATCACTCCCTCTTGACTTTGGCCATTTGTTCCCTTTTCTAAATTTAGTTTCTCTTCTTGTGCACTGAGCTGAGCTGCCAATCAGAGTGATTTCCGTCGGCTCCGACACCGATTCAACACGCTGAATTAACCAAACCTCAAGTGACAAGGAAGGACTAGTGACAGTGGTGCAGGACACACTAAAACTCGGACAACTGACACTTTCAAAAGGCTCAACTTGTAGACCATCAGCTTGGTTCATTCTTGACCTCAAGAAGCTTAATTTTTTTGGAGACAGCTTTCAAAATTATAATTTCCTATGGTCAAAAACCACCACCACATATATGAATGCAAAAAGAAGGATAAAATAAGGAAAAACAGCACATTTTTCCTATTTAGTCATTTTAGTGTGGACATGGACTCGTTGACACCTGAGACAACACTTTCTTCTTCCAAGTGGGAGCAGATGTCACAGTGTGGATGTTAAGAAGTCTGTGAGAGCCTTGAGTGTGTCTCCACAAGAATGCATACGAAAGTGTGTTTTGAGGTCTTTAAGAAGTTCATGCGAATGGTTACTGGTGAGTGCTGTGTTATTCAGCACAGACCAGTAACATGATCTCTCTCTCCCCATTACTGGTGAGACAACAGCCGCGGTTCTCAGCCGCATTAGGAACATTCATGCGTAGATTTCTGACTTTGACCCAAATGTCAAAAATCCCTGTGATGTGAGCTAACCACACGAACCGCATGTGGGAACAGTTTCTGTGCAGTCTGATGTTGAATGTATATGCTGGTGTGTCAGTGTGTGGGTCTTCAGGACGCCTTCTTGTCTTGAGCTCCCTCTACTTATGAGCTACTACAGTTGTACGCACACACGCCAAACATGCTCTCATGCGAAAAATGTTCCAGAGTTGGGTGGGCTTAGTTTTGTTTTTCTTGGTGTTCACACTTTTTAAAATCCCTGAAGGAAAACTTTCAGTCCCAGCCAGAGTTTGCACGCCTGTATTTGTACTGCTTTGATTTGGAGATATGTATTTATTTTCCCTTCATCAGAATAGTATGTGGATGTTCACTGAACTTCCAGTCCGGCTTTCAGCTTCTACATTTGTTGTTGAGGTAGCCGGACAAAGCTTATCCAGATCCTCTTGAGGGCTGGTATTAATAGTTGGACATTTTGGGAAATACGCTTATTTGCTTTCTTGCCAAGAGTAAGATAAGAAGATTGATATCACTCTCATATAAAAATGTGGCTACTGTAAGCAGCTGGTTAGCTTAGCTTAGCTCAGTATGGAGACTGAAAGCAGAGAGAAACAGTTAGCCTGGCTCAGTCTAGAGCTGTTTTCTCATATGAACCTCGGGCAGTGTTTGGAGAAACAGGTCTAGAGTTTCTCTTTCACACATGCACACAACAGGAGATTGTCAGTTTCAGAAGCGTTCTCACCTACTGGAAATACGCTGTTTAGTGTAGGCGAGGGGTGGCACCTGGATAGAACATAAAAGAGGGAGGACACAACACAGATTACACCGCATTCATGTGGCTGGTTTGTAATTTGGTCATTAACAACAGTCTCTTGACACTCTTTGAATTTGTCTGACGATTTCAGCTTCAGCTCTTACCGACAGAAGTTCCCGAATCTCATTATCTCTCCAGCTGGACAGTTTCATCGCTGTCTTTGTGTAAATGATGGGGATGAACGATAATATTCGTGGGCCATTACGAGAAGAGTATGCATGCATAATATGATGTTAATTCCACTACAGAAGAGACTTGATGATCACTAAAATTAGGCAGGGAAAAAGTGGATATATCAATATTGGTATCAGTTATCAGTTACACATCGACATATCAGATATCCGCAAAAAATCCAATATCATGCATCCCTAATAAATGACCCTGTTTTCTTCCAGTTTCACAAACTGCATGATAGAAACTGATCAACACACTGACTCGCTCACTGTGAGAGTTCGTTTAACATCCAATCCAACTCTTTCAACTCTTGCATTCTCACACACAGTTCCTCTGTGTAATGTCGAGATAATTTCGGGTGTACAACATGTGTGAAAGGGGCTTATCAGTACACCAAACATGGTGGCCATCAGGCTTGTCTGGGTACAAGCTCAGTTGCTTTGTCTTTCACTTTTACTGGTGACATTCGTATGGAACCTTGCTTGCTTCTTTTTCTCCTCTCTCTTTCGTTGCACTGGACCTGGGCTACCACGTGGTGCCAAAACAATTTCTGCAAACCATGTTAAGTGACAATAATAATAATTAAGTATCAAGTATCTGAAGGTCATTAAATCCACCCATAAACACCTCAGAAGGTCAGTCTCGTCATTTGTTTTATACATCCCAAACCTGGATTTTGTTACCAGGCAAGCCGTTTTTTTTTTCTGTGTCAGCCTCTTTGCTAAGCTAAGCTAACTGGGTCACTTCAAACAAATGGAAGACATTTCAACACTCTACCTGGAATGGCACTCTCTTCCCCTGCAATCCATAGCGCTAAAGTTCCCACAATGTGTTGACATAGTACTCGTGTTGGTGGGTTTCTTTTGTCTCCAATAATGGACCCCGGGCCCTGAATGTCAGTGTGTATTTGCTCTGTCAGGAGGAGGAGGGTCTCCTAATGCTAAAGAATAAACCTCAGTCTCTATAGCCTGTTGTCAGACTGTCAACAGGAGCAGCAGGAGGAGGTTTGCTGAGTAAACAGCCTGATTAGTATTAGCATGAGCTCACACACACCTGTGAAGGTCTGTTTATGTGTGTTTTAATGTGATTCTTTTTTCTTCAGCTAACAGGTAAGTGAGGTTTGCTACATGATGCAGTATGATTCCCTGTATTAGGCGTGTCTGTGTGTGCGTGGTTTCATACATCCATTCATGTATGTGTGTGTGTGTGTGTGTGTGTAGCTATGCTGCCCAGCCTGGTTCTGCACCGTACCTCTATTCGTCCATACCAGCGGGGTCTCTACTGCAGTGACTCCAGCCTGAGATACCCCTACAAGAAGAGCACCGTCCCCTCCTCAGTGCTTACTTCTGTTGGCTTGACACTGCCCGCGGTGTCCGTAAGTCCCCCCGACACAAAGAGCGCTCACACTAGGGGAACACTGAAGGCAGAAACAGGGAGGGCGGATGGTTCATGACGGTGGCTGTGAAAGTTTTTAATTTATAGTGTCACTTGAATCTAGTTAAAGAAATCCATCATTCCTCTAAGCGGACCTTACATGCCACCCTCTGGCCCCACCCATGTGATCCCCTGGTGCCAGTGTGCTCCTTGTGCTCCCCCCTGTTCTCTCCTGTTTATGTCTGTGTCACTGACCTGGTGCTTTTATGCTTTCTTTCTTCTCTCCCTCTTCCTGTCTTTCTCTCTCTTCGCTCCCCTCTTTCCTTGTGTCTTTTGTAGCTAGCCTGCCTTTCCTGATCATTGAGACTAGCACCATAAAGCCGTACCAGCGCGGGTTTTACTGTTCGGACGAGTCCATCCGCTACCCCCGAAAAGAGGGAGACACCATTAGCGATGCTGTGCTTTGTGGTGTTGGCATTCTTATTGCCATCTTCTCTGTAAGTCGACCTTCACACCTCCCTTTGTTTTTTCTGCTTTTTAAAGTCACTTCTTTTTTAACTCTTAGATATCTTAGCCCGATAAAGTACTCTCACTAACATAGCCCCTGAATTTAGAAAGTTTGAGTGATTTCCTATCATGCAGTGTTTTCTAAAACACCCCAGTCTTTTGCTGTCAATGTGCTCTACATGTCCTACCCTTTCATCCTGTGATGTTTTCTTCGTCATACTGTTTTTATTACTTCACTAAGCGAGTCCGAGGTGGCGAGAGGCCCCCTAAGCGACATTTGTGTGTGGGCTGACGCATGCATGCCAATGACCAAAGAGATTTTTACAAGCCCCTGGTCCATTCTCATACCTCCCACTCGTATTCCTGCACCCTCACTCCATGCCCTCTCTGCCCTGCACATGACTTCGGGTTAATGTATCAGTGCTCTCTCCCGTGCCCGCAGTGCTACACTGATAGCCTGAGGCATCTCGCTAGTTAGCAACTGCATGAAGTCTTCATTCCCATGACTTGACTTCTGCTCCAGAGAGGGAATGGCTCCAGGACAGTGCCAGCAGGATTAAGCGTGGGGTCAGGGTTAATGGAAACATGTTATAACGACATGTGTATGTGCATGTCAATTAATGCCACGTGGTCAGTCTAGATGATCTTTACAGCCCCCTCATAAGTTCCCAGACGTCGCTTAGGTTGGTAGGCACACACAAACGCTGTACCAGCTCAGCTCTTCTGCTTATTGGAACCAGGAGACTGTTAGTTAGTTCCCTCACATGTTCACGTGTGGGCAAAGTTGGCGTGTCTCACGCAGCTGTGTTTCATTAGTGGCGTCTACTGCCATGCCGACACCATTCCTCTAACACACATGCATGCTCACTCATGCAGGCACGCGCACATGTGTGCACACATAGACACACACTGGTAGCAGATTCCAGTTGGGCCTCTTGTTTATCCTCGCTGCGAGGGAAATCCCAACAGTCCTGCTGGTCCGACATATCCATGTCTGACGGGCTGCGTTTCCACTGTGAGAAACGCAGTTAGCCATAGCGAGATAGAGTTCAATAAGCACTGACGATCCAAATAAACCCTTCAGGCACCAACTGAGCCTTCTGCTCTGATCAGGAAGGCCCGCCGTATCCATGACAGGCCCTGTCTGCACTTAGACTCCCAGACACACAGCAATAAACCAAGACAGGGAGATAGCAAAGGGGAGGAGAGGTTTGAATGCAGATTCTGACAAGCCAAATAAACTTCTCTGTCCTGTATCGGCCCCCTGTGGTTCTAATCTTAAGCTTAGATCAAAACAATTCATTGACAATAGCACACACACTCTAATACACCGCCATGTTTGTTTCTTCTGGCTGTGAGCCTGCCAGCTGACCACCCAACAGGCAGGATAGGTGTGTTTATCAGGCCTAACAATACACAAACAATACATGTAAATACACAAACATTATGAATCTGTATTAGGCGGTCAGGGGAATACTGAGCCTGCAGATGTGCACACATTTAAAGTCTTAATGCTGGTTCAGAGATGGGCAGGTAAATATTTTCCTGAGAGATTGGGTGAGAAGGTAGGCCGAAGACTGAAGCCTTGTGTGGAAAGAGGAAGGAAAGGGAGATGTGGTTAGTGGTGGAGAGCAGCCGGTCTGTCACTCAGATACCCCAGGTGGTGCAGATGTGATTGACATGTCCGTGCCTGGAGGGTTGGCTTGGTGTAAGCCCCCTCAGTGTAGATGAGGTCTTTCCATGGGCCCCAACACGACTTAAAACCTTCTGGCTGGAATGCCACAGGATCCAGGGTTAGCCCACTAGACTTAAGCCCTAAAGCAGAACATTGTCCTCATATAAATCCTCCTTGTATCAAAGTCAGGTCGGTCTGAGACATCGACCCTGTCTGGATCATTTGTTTTCATATTTTCCTTTCCCCTTGCCTTCACTCTCTCATTATCCTTCATATTCCACTGAAAAAGGCCCCATCACATCATTAAGCAGAGCATCACCACTCATTTATAATCTCACATCGCATCAAAACTGCCTGAGGGAAAGGCAGGCCATGCTCATTCTGTATGTTTGTCTTTGTGTGAATCTCATTCTGTCTCTCCTGTCTCTCCTCATCCTCTCTGCTCATTCTGGAATTAAATTAGACTTCCTGCATGATACACACTCAAACATTATCATTTTACTGCATGTTTAAATGCACCTAAATCTAATGTAAGACTATAGGATTCAGCATCATAATAGCTGTAGGATTTGTCTTATATTTGTGATCAGTGTCAGCTGTTCTGTGATCTAAATAAAAACTATCCTTTCTTTCAGATTGTGATTGGAGAATGCTTCAGGATTCACCAACTACATGAGGGAACCAAGTCTTTTGTTGGGAATCCTTATGTCGCAGCCCTCTACAAGCAGGTCAGCTCTCCATAAGTGTGCTTTCTTACCCTGGGTGCACAACCTAACGCATTGACGGATTGACACTGACCGGAAGTCATTCATTCCAATGGAGGTGAAAATGACGGATAGTAATGGACTAGCGCGCAGCACGGCAGCGGTTCTATTGACCATTGGACCGTGGAGGCGTTGGATTTTTCCTGCTTGGGCATTGACAACATGGGAGAAACAGAGCGTTACAGTGCCGGAAGTGGGAAATAAATTGCAATCACAGTTGTAAACAAACAATATCTCATTTATTTATGCAAAAGAAAAATAAGCATAAGCTTTGTTTCCACTATTAAAAGTGATTGTTGACCATAGGTTGGTTTCTATGCGGTTGATAATTAATCTATATTATCGAATTTTGTGCTCATTTCCATAGCCTATTTCACGCCTATATATCAGCTCTTTCAATAGTACACTACTCAACTCGTCTTAGTTCAGTTGGTACAGTGACAGTCAACATGAGAGATCTTCGCAGGAAGATATTGCTAGCACTTCTGCTGGATGACTTCGCTAACAACTCTTGCCGACAGCATGCTAGCTAGCCACCCGCATCTGGCCAGGTCCGGCAACAACGGAACCTCGCGGTGTTGTTCTGGGGGTGGGGAATGTGTTGGGGAAACACTCCGTTAAAACAGGAAAAATAGGTTGTGCGCCCGGCGTTATGTGTTCAGGATATTGCATACATATCGTAAATGACTCGTTGCTAAACGCCTCCCCTTAACCTGTAGAGGGGTACTCTGTCTGTATAAAGAGTTTGGATGGTGGATTCTTATTTTTAGCCTCATCAACACTAAAATACAGCACAAGTGTAAGGAAGGGTTCAAACAGTGTCTGCTCATGTAAGCTGCCATTGTTAGCATGTTGCACTAACTAGCCATGCCTTACCATCTACAGTAGTAGGCCAAGGAGCTTTTCATACCACATTTTGTGGGTTACAGATTCAGTTGAAAAAAGCCGTGCTCACAACTCGCACTCACTGTGTGGGAGCCGATCCTGGATGCTACTATCAAGACCCTTTCCCACTGCACAGAACCACTAACCACTAACACCCACTAGCATCTGGCTTTTTTATTTAATTAGGAAGGCAACAGTCGGCATCACTACTGGTCAAAAGACTCGGCAATAGTCACAGGTATTTACTGGCTCTAGCTCAGCTTCCATTGGCTGTGATGGAAGTACAACACCCAGGTGGATGTGCTAATGTTAGCCTCTTTGCTAACGCGATGCAATGACAGCCCATCACAAAATAATGTCCGTGTCCATCCAAGCAGTGCTCGAACATCGTTCCAAATTACTCAGCACTGAGTTTAAAAGAGAAATTGAAGGAGTAGTCTTACATTAAGAGAAGAGACAGAGAGGCATACTTGTCTGCTGGAGAGCCGAGTGCACAGCTCTGGTCTGCTGGTAATGGGAAAGGAGTCTTATCGCGGATTTTTAACGAGTTTTCCTGTGTTTAAACAATCCGCGAACAAGCGCTAATTTTGGTGTTAAAGGGGTTTTAGAGTGTAGGCTAACAGCAGCTCTGTCTTGCTGAATTGGATTTGGGGTACAGCATTATATTCCCCGAATACATCAGTTAGTCATCAAGCCTTAAAGCTTTTTTTCTTGTATTGTTTGAAGTGAAACAGTTTTAGAAATACAAATGATGAAGCATTAATCTCATCTTTGTTTTACATGGCCAGCTATATAAGATGAGCAGCTGAACAGGTTTATGTTAGAATGAAATAACAGCCTAATTTTATAGTTTTTCTCATCATATTTACAACTTGAGGACTTACAATGCACTGCAATATAAGAGCAATGCTATCTATATCCATGTCTTCTACGTGGATCGTCATCCAGAGAGGGTGCTGACTTTTTGCCTGCGACATGTAGCTTTAGCCTCAAGTCTTTTAGCATGATATTCATGTACTGTATGAAACCATGAAGTGCACATTTTAGACTCCTTTACAGGCTTCTTGGTTTAAAATGGGGCTGCTGTAAATGTTACAAAATCAGCCAGCGACAGCATTTCAAACCAGTTTGTTAAGCTAACATTATTTTTAGTGAGTTACAGCTGGTGAAATCTGTAAGCAGCAGCTGCCACTTACGCCACAACAACGAAATGAGAAGCTTGTTTTTGTTTACCAGTGTCTCACAATGAGGACTCATTGTTTAGGAATTACTAAGAATGTTGAGTGGCAAATGTGCCACAGTTTTTTTTTAAGTAAGCTGCTTTGTTATTGTGTCTAACCATTGGTGTATGTGATCTTGCAGATGGGTGTGTTTCTCTTTGGATGTGCCGTCAGCCAGTCATTCACAGACATTGCCAAGGTGTCGGTGGGTCGTATGAGACCCCACTTCTTAGATGTGTGTAAGCCAGATTTCTCCACCATCAACTGCTCACAGGGATACATCACCAACTATACCTGTGCTGGCAATGAGAGTGATGTGCAGGAGGCCAGGTTTGAGAAAACACCGTTACATACACGATATGCAGTAAATATGCTGGACTGAAAAAATCCTTCGATTGAAAAACTGACTGAAGATCTTTACTCCACAGGAAATCCTTCTTCTCAGGACATGCCTCTTTTTCAATGTATACCATGCTCTACCTGGCTGTAAGTAACCATTAAGCTCTCTTACACACACACACATCGTCACACACTCACATTCATGCAAGCACACACATGCAAAGAGCCCCAGAAACAATGATTTACAGATCATAGAGGGAGTCATGGAAAGAAGGCTGGGCTGTGATTTAGGGATTTGCCACCTGAAGACAAAAGATTGTTCTTATCCACGTCTCCTCCTCCTCTTCTCTATCTCCTCACTCAGTTCATAAAGAGTTTTATTCTCCTTTTTACCCCTCCGAGAGATGGATGGATGCGCTCCACCTGTTTTCTTAAGAGCAGCTGCGCGTGCACTTCCTGTCCTCTCCCATTTCCCTCAGTCTCTGCCTCTCACTCCACCTGTTGTGGGTGTCGGGTGAGGCTTAGCACCCTCGAGGCATTTCATGCTTCAAACAGTCTAATTACACACACACAGACAATCACCAGCTCATAGCTCCCCAATCATCTCCTCCTTCTCCTCTTTCTCTGAAGAGGGAAGAAGACAGTCAGTGTTTTGGGTCTGGCTGGCTCAAGCTTTGTTAAAGGGTGGTCTCGGTTCTCACAGTGTGCTGACAGTGGAAGTTCTGGTGTGTCGTAGTGTATTGTCATGCAGTGAGAACTTGCTGCGGGTATTTCCCAGCCTCTGGATGAACCTACAGCTGCATTCTGGTCAGACCAAGGAAAAGAGATGAATTAAAAGCAGGGGAAAAAGCAGAGAGGGAACGGACATGTGATGCATCCAGACCACAGTGTGACACAATAGTCAGAGACCAGTGTTCCAGCTGCGGCGAGCTCAGGACCTCAGCCAGAGGAGGCTGGTGCAAACAGTGGAACAGAAAGAGGAGAGGAGGTACAGCTTGTAGTTTATGTTTTGGAACATAAAACCAGCCTGAAACAAAGCCCACTGGAGGCATTCCCAGTGGAAAAAGGAATCTGCAGCATTTTTGTTTTGTTTTTGCCGGCTGAAAACGAGTCATGTGACATCACGTTTTCACTCACAGAGCCTCCTTCTCTCTTAAAATCTTCTTAAAGACGTATCATTGTGTTTCTCATTTGTCGTCCTCAAGGAGACGTTACTAATCTTAAGTTAAATCAATAGAACATGAGGACGGATAATGGCTGCAAGTTTAATCGCTGGCTTAAGATGCATGATATATCCCATAATAATACATTTAAAGATGATGCATTTAGGTCGCCATATTCATTTTCTGTCCTTTTGGTCAAATAATAGAATAATTAATAAATCAACCATTCATGTCTACAATAGATAGATATAATGAATCCTCTCTTTCTTAGGTCTCTTTTTGGCCCTTGTTTTCTCCCCCTCGTCCTCACCAGGGTGAAAGTGTCACTTCCACAGTGTGGCTGTCGCCTAGCTCTCCCCCCCATCCCCCAGTCGTCTGCTAATTGCCACTCTTTGATTTCGATGCACTTCATTTCCTGCAAAGCTCGACTGAGAGCTGCGTTTGCGTCTGATGTGGTTTTGAGCTGCGACTTCACAGCGCCACGTTCTTCTGCGATGGCACGTAGATAACTGGCACAGATGACACGGCACGCTGCTCAGCTACAACCGCAACCACAGAGAACAAGCGTGTGTGAGCATTCATGCGTCCTACTGAGCTATCTTTTGTTTTGTCTAATGTGCAAACACACGATCCAGTGGCAAAGGACTGGGCGCATTTCTGTGGGTTATTCGTGCTTACTGGGCCTGCTGTCGCCGAGGCAGATAGCATGTTGTTTGTTAAATAAAAGCCAATATGTTTGTTTGTGATCAGAGTGGTTTTAACCACAGCTATGCTTCCGTCTCACAGCATGGTGTGAACCAGAAGAGAGGATGGGAAGGGGGAAGCCGTGTAAAACGAGCCCTCACTCTCATTCTTTCTTACGTTGTTGTGTGTTTTCTTTTATTGAACACTGAGTCACAGCGAGAAAGACAGAGGGAGAAGATCTCACTGGAATGAGCTGGATTCCTTCAGAAACCACCAGACTTTGTGTCGCTCTTGTCTCCATCTGTCATGGGAATCTGCTGGGACTCCGTTTGTTGTTGTGTTTTATTGTTGTTTTCCTCTGATCTAACTGTTTAAGACGCACAACAAATTTATGGGAGGACAGCTAGGGTCAGAAAGGCAAGTGCCTGAGTCTATTTAAGTCTTTCGAGTTTGATTTATAGAGGAGACGAAAATCCATTTTGAGACTTTAAGAAGGTCGTTAACCTTCTGAATTGCTTATCGTGACTTCATGTGTTCACACTTCTGCTGAATCAGAGTTGGATGAGTTATTTGGGTTTACTCACTGCCATCCACTCAGATAGGGCCAAGTTGAACGGGTCACTGTAACTCTCTCTTTTTGGCTAAGTGCTCATCCTTTCTCCTACAACCTCTATCAAAGCCTGCTTAAAACTGAGAGGTTTAGGATGTTGCGTCATGGCTGCAGGACGCCAGACAAAAGTACTTATCAGCAGTCCTCGCCCGCTACCTGAGAACCACATTGGAGGAAACCTGAAGTCTAAACATCCCTGCTGCCAGGGAGGAGAGAGCGAGAGCAGAAGGGATGGGAGGGATCACTTCCTCTGCGTCCACAAGGAGAAGAACAATGATAGAGTGTCGTAGAGGAAGTGCAAGGGAGCTTTACACCTACAGGAGCTTATAGTGGATGGGGGTTGATGGGAAGCACTGCGGCTTTCTGCTGGTATTGTTAGCCTAGCTGATTATAAGACGCAAGGTAGACCTTGGCTGAGGCTGGCCCTCCCATGCCCTCTGTCTCTGGGTGTGAGACAATGGAAATTGGAGGGTACGAGTGGTGTAGAAACACAGGATGTCTGAGGGACCTGGGCTGATCTCACCGCTGTGCGTGTTTGAGGATATAAAGAGAGAGACGGCGTGTATTTGCACTTCTAAGAGTGACTGAAAGTGACCTTGGACCCAGTCATTCCTGTTTTGGCTCTTCTCTGTCTTTATCATGACCCAGAAGATGGTTTTTGGCTGCAGGCGCAGTGGGGGGGTGCATCCGCTTTGTCCTCTATTTACTCTAATAGAGGGGAGCGAGTTCATCCCTACAAAGTGTTGAAATGTTCATGGTAGGGTATGTATGCATGTATGTGTGTGTGTGTGTGTGTGTGTGTGTGTGTGTGTGTGTGTGTGTGTGTGTGTATTCCAGTGGCTCTCTGTGGTCTTGCTGTTTTTACAGCTGGGATGTTTAACCATGAATCAGTCATGTCCGGGTCTCAGGCAGTCGAGTGTGTGTTGTGGAAGAGATTATGTGTTTCTTTGCGGCTCTGGCCAGCCTGCCCACTTTGATTCAGTCTAGACCTCTCAGACAGTAATAATACACATGCACACACACAGAAACACGCGCTGCAGGTGTACACCTTGGTGTGCAGGTCATTACTGGCATCAGAGAGGACTGACAACCACATTGATAATGCATGTTTTACACCAGTAAATTCTTTATTTAAGGGTTTGTGTGTCAGAGTTTTTACACAATAACTGTGCATAATTGATTCTGTTGTTTGGAGGAAAATAAATAACATCATCTCTCTGTTTTCTCAGTTTTATCTCCAGTCCAGGTTCTCATGGCGTGGCGCTCGTCTCCTCCGCCCTCTGCTCCAGTTCACCCTGTTGATGATGGCCTTTTACACCGGCCTATCACGTGTGTCCGACCACAAGCACCACCCGACTGACGTCCTGGCTGGCTTTGTGCAGGGAGCCCTGGTGGCCTACTGCATAGTGAGTACACATGTCACGCAAAGAGACACATAAATCCAACACGCAACCTGCTTGAAAATATAATCCGAGTGATAAAGCACGAAGGCATATATCTTTCCGCAACTTAATACTTTTCTATAATTGACCGTCGGGGATCCTACAGACGCACCGACCTTCAAATAAAGTCTGCCTCTGCCTAGCTCTTTCTTTGACTTTTTCTGTTCTCTTCTTTCTCTGAAAAAGAGAAATGGAGCAAGCAGTGAAGTGAGGAGAATCTGATTCCCTTTAATGAATAACACATTGCGTGGAGTCAGGCCCTTGTTCAGGAGGGTGTGCGTGTGTGTGTGTGCTAGTATGAATCCATACTCTGCAAACTTCTTTGCTACTTTTGTGACATATCGTCGCAGCAGTTGCCAGATGATTTTTGTAACCCTCGTCATTACACTAAGCTAGACGGAGCCAAGGAAAATTGAATTCGGGTCAAGAGGAAAATGGAGGGAGTGTAAAAAGAGAGAGAGCAGGAGCGTGCGCGAGAAAGAGAGAGAGAGGGAGGATTAGCCTTTGAAACAGGAATGAGGCTGTTAATTATTTTGGGTTTTTTATTTGGCGGCTCTGGTTCTATCAGCACAGCAGGCCCCTGCTAAACTCTGCTGCCTCTGGGAAATGCATGGAAAGACACACTCACACACACACACACACACACACATGAGCAGCCCTTACCTTTCTACACGATCCAAATCATGAACGTGGAAAGGATTAGATTCATAAACTTTAGCAAGACCTCAGTAGTGGCGCCTAGGCAGACTTTGGCACAGCTAAAATGCACATGCACGCTCTCTCACACACTCACACACACACACACACACACACACACACACACACACAGCACACCAGTGTCCTTGAATGCCAGGATTATTCAAGCATCCAAAACAAGCAGAAATCAATGAGTAACAATAGACAGTAATGCTCTGGCAAAATCAGCACTCCTCCAGCTGGGCGAAGCTCCTGGACGACATCAGCTTTGACAAGAGGGGGAAAAAAGAATGTTCTCAGAAGTATGCTCAATGTATGAGCTTGACCTCTGGATGGGCAGATCTGGCAGGAGGAGCGAAGGGAGGGAAGTGACAGGAGAGAGAGTAGCCTTGTCTACATCTTGGCTCGGGATGAGCGTGGGTTTAATCCAACTCGGCTATTCCACAACCCTCAGAGAGACAGCTTAACACACAAACACACAGACGCACTGTTCACATCCACATGCATACACAACACATGTACATACGTATACACAGACGCACGCGCACTCATTTTGAAACCCCTGCCGATCAAGGAGGTGAGGTTAGTTTTACGATCCTTGACGCCCGTTCTGATTTGCCCAGTCTTAGTAGAAACACACATCTGTGAATACTTTAGCTCGGCTGTTTCAGCCTCTCAATGAGCAGCAGAGCAGAAAGGACCTGACAGGAGATGAGTGGAGGCAGGACAGAGGCAGTATGAAGCCTGTTTGCCTGAAAAAAGCCAGCAGAAAGAACTAAATCAAAGCATGAACATACTTGGATCTTATGTTAACAAGTGTGCAGGTTCCAGTCATTGATCTTTTAAATGTCGAGTTTGAAATATAAGAGCAAAAGCACGAGTTCACACTTTGAAATCAGAGATGTTCAGAGCACTGAAACAGTCTTTTAAATGTCTCCGCTTGGATCTGCTACATGTCCTCTTGATGTACAGTGATAGTTGTTCATAAGTGTGCCTTTGATTTGTCTTTGAAGGTCACTGAGAATACACTGTAACAACATGACGAAGGCTTTGAGGGTTCAGTCTGTATCCCATACTGGTTGTAGAAGCAGCTTTGTTGTTGGAGAACTTTGGGCGTCATTTACCCACTGTTCTTAAGAAGACATTTCTTCTTGAAACTTAGTTTTCTCCAAAGTTTTCTTATTTGGGATTTGTTCTTGGGTAAGATCAGACTCTACACACTCTCAAGAGCATTGTTACACACACTTTGTGCTGAAATGTTTGTGCACAACAATAATATTTGTATAATTTACAATACTTATAAATAGTTATGTTGTATCACTTTACAAAAACCATTATGGTCTTTAAAGGCCCTGACACACCAAGCTAACCATCGTCTGTTGGTCAAAGTTGGGCCGTTGGTGAGCGTTTGCCACCCTCATCAGTGAGGTATGTCCTGCACCATTGGCCCTTGTTGGTGCTAGTTGGCGCTAGTTGGCTTTTTTTCCGTCAATTCAGTTGTTGAATCAGCGTTATCAGTTCAGCTTAGTGCACAAGAAGAGAAACGAAAGTGAGGAAAGTAAACAAAGAGTTAACATCAAGAGGGATTGAGATCAAAACACACTTGTTCCATTAGGCAAGATTAGTTTTCTTTAGCCTTTGCGCTTTTTAGCAGGAACGTTTTGGTTCGTGGTTCTGCTTCTTCTTCATCTTATTCGTCCTTTTCTTCTATTTCTGTGGGTGCACACGGCCCTGCAGTCTCATGCCCTTTTATGGGGATTGGCGGGCTGTTTACCTTTGCTGGCACGTGCATTAAACTTACAGGGACAATAAGATTCATCATTACGAGAACACATGTACGAACAGTTCTGCTGTCTTAGACCACGTCATGACAAAGACTTTTCTCGGGACCTTTCTTCAAATTTTAGAAATAAAACTTAGGAAGATATTGGTGAATATGACCCCTGTAGCCAATCATTCTCATAAGATGCTTCCATGAAGCAGTTGATATTTAAGAGCCCCATGGCAGCTTGGGTAATGTGGTCCATAAATCTTTCCTGAGCTTGCGTACGTACAGTGGAGACATGGAGACAGCAGCCTCCGGACACTCACACTGCACTTGTCCTGATACAAAAGTCTGATTCAAAGAACAAAAGAACGCAGTGGTGCAAATTATTGGATTTTCACGTCAGTCCCAAGTGTGTGATTGTGAACAATTGTTCTAAATATCACATGATGAGTTATACAGTATAGCCTTGTGGAAAAGTATCTTCCTTTCCAAATACATTTGAGTAATTGGCTGTAGAGAATTGTATTATTCCATGACTTTATTGTCAGGGCTATTCCAGGTTTCCCCAGGCTACCGTTACCTCTTTAATCCCACTGTTCTCCGTGTTGAGTGCCAGTAAATGAACAATACAAACCTGAGGCAGGAATGAACACATTCATGTGTAGTGACGTGTTCGACTGCGGCTTTGCTGTAAGTTAATTGCTGCTTTGTCTTTCCTCACATTTGATGACAGATGGTGCCTGAGTCAGATACATTAAGAGTTTTTTTTGTTAAGAATATGTAGATGAATGTCTGTTTTGAGTCAGACTCCAGACTCTGTCTGCAGGGCTCTGATCCAGAGATTCAAGGAACCACAACAGGAAGTGGTCCGTCTGTCCTACCTGGCACTTCCTTTCAGACGCAGTGACCTACTTTTCAACATGTGTGGTAACAAAGGTCAAAAGGGCCCAATCCAGCAGGAAGCAGCTGTCCGAAAGCTGGGGCAGCGCTTTTCGAGGTTCATTGTCACAGTAAAGAGGAGTCGGGTCAGGCATTAAAGGAGGAGAGGGCAAGAGGATGCTGTCCCTCCCTCTCTGTTTTAAACACACAAGGACAAGCTGGACATGCTCAGGGTCTCAAATGTTAAAGCTGCGTGGTCAGTGAACTTGTGTAGAAGCAGGAAGTCATTTTTTTTATCACGCAACTCAAGTCTCTAAATTCTGAATTATATGCGCAGTGCAAACAGTTAAAGGTCCAGTGTGCAGGATTTATGGGGAAGATAATATAATAGGCATGTTTTGTTTCATGTATAACCATCTGAAAATAAGGCTGCTTTCACACCTGCCCTGTTTGGTTCGGTTTAGTCAAGCTCAAGTTTGTTTGCCCCCTCAGTGCGGTTCGTTTGGGCAGGTGTGAATACAGCAATCACACTCAGGTGTGCACCAAAACAACCAGACTGAGACCTTCTTGAAGAGGTGGTCTCAGTCCGGTTATAAACGAACTCTGGTGTTCATTTGTGGTGAGAAGGTGTTCCGACCTGGATGTGAACCAGCTGCAGTCACATGACACATTGTTTGGGTTAAACATGAGCATGTTACAGTCCTGGAGGATTATTAATGTGCACCTCCTCCTGTACTGCCTTAATATGCACATTCAGCACATCCAATGCACCAAAACATTGTTTTCTAGTTGGAGCCGCTCCTCGTTTTCAAACTGTATGGTTTGACTAAAATGAACAATGACAGCAATATAGTCCACGATGAGCAGCGCTAAAATCAACCTGCGTAGTTGTCCCTCCATTGTGACATTAGAAAGTGTCACATTTATCTTGCAAGTATACTCTTCTTCAATGCTTTTTCCCACATGGAAATTCTGACCAATCAAGAGCAGCTTTCTCGCAGAAGGCATTTGATCTGGTCTGCTTGTAAATGTTGCCGTGAGAACACGAACCAACTCTAGGCAATTATACAACTTTGGAACAAAATGAATCCCTGATTTGGACCAAAGCAAGACAACTCCAGGTCTCTAGGTCTGAGAGCACCTTAAGAATCATCATGTTTTTGTTTCCTCAGAATCTACATAGAGAGTGGGTCAACATCCATGGAGTCTCTGGGTTTGAATCACCTAATCCTTTTGTTTAGAGAGGGAGAGACCTCTGCAGATAAATTGGCTCCTGGTGAAAACCTTCTGAACACTGAAGAAATCCTAACCGGGAATATATGCTTGGCACACGGGAGAATTTTCAGCAGGTTGCAATCTGCAGTCCTCACTGCTAGTTGCCACAAAATCCCACACTAGACCTTTTAACTTACTTAAAAAACTTGACATTTGACATTGCGAGACATGCAGTCATTTGATATTTCCTCACAAATGTGTCAGAGTTCCATCCTCTGACCTATATTGGCTGAATGCATTAACCGATGTATTGTGTGGTTAGGCTGCAGATATATTCATAATTGGTTTCATGTGCGTGCGAACAAATTCACTGGCGGGGGTCTGGTGAGTAATGATGGTTTTTTAGAAATTCGCAGTTCCTGCAAGGTACTGCACTCACTTCCTGTGTGACTCACTTACTTAATGTGTAAGGCTTGATATTTAAATAGTGGTTAAGGACAATTAGAGGCAAACTCTCTCTCTCTCACACACACACACACACACACACACACACACATATATGTATTCATATTCAGTACATGCACTGTTTTTTTTCCTGCAGTAGAAGCCTAACTGCTGAGTCTGCATCTCTTAACACAAAAGAACTGGAGGCTGTGTGTGTTTGCATACATCATGCACAGGAAGTGGCGAGGTCGTGATAAGCCTTCCACCATGGCAGGTTCGGGGGCGATAGGTTGGAGGTCGGTGACGCGGCAGCAAGGCCCACTATGATTGGACGCCGAGCATCCCCGAGGGGAAATGAGCTCAGGATGTTTCCAAGGACGGGTGATTCTCAGAGATATGACTTCACATCATATCCCCCCACACTGCACTAATTATATCATATATGATATACCATATTATGATGCACAGAAGACGCTGTGCAAACTAACGGCTGTACAGACAAAGAGCCCTTTTAAAGCCTTGAAAGCAGCTGTGTGTTAAGGAGGAATCTGTATACGACTGATGTCATCTATGAGTCAGAGGTCACCAGTGAAGGTCTTTATGGTCAGTAAATGTCAAGCTGTAATAGAGGAGAATGTCTTTGTATCGAGTGAGTCTTTGTTTTATAAATAGATCACCGGCTGTGTGTTGACCATGGCCACTCGTATATGTTTCTCCGTATGAGACCAGCATGTATTTTCACTGCGTATTTTCTCCCATGAGAGTTATCCGTGCTGTTTTCTTGGAGGAGCTGGTGCCCAGTCGGCTCTCTTTCTCAGAGCTCGCTGTTGAATGGCAGCTCCCCCCTCTTGGCCCTCCCTCCTCCTCGTCTCCCTGGCACAGGCCCTCTGCTCGCCCTCGACTGGCAGCATGGAAGGAAAAGCTGCTGCGCCTGCCAATTATGTGTGTGTGTTTGTGTGCGAGTCCGCAGCTGAAGCCACTGTTGCTCATGACTGACCCCAGACCCTTGTAAGTGGAAACGGTAATCCACTCTTTCAGTGGACAGTAGTTTCCATGGTCCCACTTCCTGTCCACCCCTGCCCATTTTCCTGTTTGACATATGATGTCATCAGGATCTCAGGAAGAGATTTCTTTTCTGCCTCTTTTTTTTTTTTCTCCAGCATCCTTCGTTTGCCACCAGCAGCTGCCAGGCTGACCTCAGAGTTGATGTAAAGGGGGAATTCACCCCTGGCATCATTTAATAGCGGATTAGCTCGGGTTCACTACGTTTGATTGTCAGTTTAGAGTGAGTTACACTAAGATCACTTCCTTCAGCCAGATTACTCAACGCTGCTCGTTTGGGGATTGCACAAAGGGTGGCACTTCTCATCATGGCATCATAAAGTAATGCAACATTCCCTTTTACACTTCTCGCCATGCAGACATTAACAACACGTGGGTGTACATACACATTAGCCCTGTTCAGACCTGCTGTGTTTTACCCAGACTGTTTCCAGACCCAGCTAATGGGTGCAGTTCACACCTGTTATTAAATTAATCTGACATTTCACTTGCGCAATTAGATTTTTTTTCTTGTGTAGAGAGTGTAGCTGCTGTTAATCCGAGAAAAAAACATGTTTGAGCCCAGCCTCAGAGCCAAGAGGAGACACATGGTGGTTATTTGGTAACTTGGGAGTTGTCTGGCATAGGCAAATCGGCTGAGATAGGTTTATCATGACCGATGCAAACTACAATGAAAACTCTTCTGTCCTTGAATGTGGTGCATTTGCATTAAAACCGAACTGCTAAACTGGACACACATGCCCGAAAAACAGCTTCATATTTGGTTTGAGCCACTGGATCCCGTCTTTATCATCTCCGCCAGGTATAAGTTAGGTGGTTTGGTTGAGTGCGTGTGTTTCTGTCTGTCTGCGTGCAGCTAATCTCACAAACTACAGGACCAGACAGCCTAATATTTTATGTGCACATTTATGACTGTATACTTCAGGATCTTCATGGTTGTGGTGATTCACAATTGTCTTACATCATCATTTTCTGCTGACTCCTCACTCTTCATCAGCCTGTAGGGGCTATCAAGTCCTCAACAACATCACATAGCATAAACATTGAGCAAAAGGCATTTCTGACAGTCGGCTCAGCTAAAAACAAGAAGCCACAATATTTCAGGTCTCATTTTGGTCTTTGTTGTGGCTCAAAAGCTGACATCCAGAGAAAAGTTCAGTCTCATTTTAAACCAGAGCGTCTTCAAATTAATTCCATACTTGGTTTGTTATGAACCAGTAAGTCAGACATGATAGGAGATTTTTTTTTGCCACAATCATGGCCATAAAGGAGCCAGGAGGGACAATTTAACCAGGCGCAACCATTCTGAATGGACCGCAAGTGACTCGCAAACATGTCAAGTTTGTAAAAAACACGCTTCATTTTTAAGTACAGTGAGTTTTTGGCACAAAGCTATTTGAAGTGCTTTGAAGTGCGATTTCCTGCTGTAGAGCGAGTGCATAATGGACAGCTACTTCACAGAGGCAGCAAACTAGCTCAACAACGTGGCGAAACGTAGTTATGACACTGAATATAATAAACTTTGTGGATCTTGAAGTGATGGACCCTGTGGCTGCACCAGTTGGGAGCCACTGGTCTAGAGTGGCCACATGCTGAGAGCACTTTGGGATGATGTAGTCCCTCTTGTTTTCCTCTGATTCTTTATGTCTTCTCTGTTTCCTCACCTCTCTCTCCCTCCGTCCACCAGGTGTTCTACGTGTCAGACCTGTTTAAGCCCCGGGTGAAGCCAGCCACGCCCCCGCCCTCCCCGATCAAGAAGGAGCTGCTCCCTTCTTCCGACATCATCGAGAGGAACAACCACCACAACATGGTGTGAGAGAGGCCGCGACTACTTCCTGCGACCGAGGAGCCAATCACAGCGCTGCTCACCTCCCATCGGACAGTAGAATGTAGCGACGAGAGACTGTAGCTGCTTCTCAAACGGCACCCTCCTCCCTTTTCTGCGGCGCCCAGCGAGGCGCTGTGTGGACTAGGGTGTCAGATTTGAGATTTGCACAGCAGAGTCCACTCTCACTATCCAGACATTTTTTATTTACTATTATGTCAACTACTAATCAACATTTGAGCCCATCATTTTGAGCACAAACAGAAAAGAATTGGAAGCTAAAAGGCAAAACGAATTAAGAAATTGACTTGACAGGCAGAGCTGAGGGTGTGGAGGTTTGATGGAAGTGTAACCTCATGAAGGGAAAACACTTGTGAAGAAAAACAAATGAATAAAAGACACAAAAAAAGACAAACCCCCTGCCTAGGGAGAGAGGGGGTCCCAGTGATGCTTCCTCTCTGAACTCTCTGTGGCCTTGGAACATCGTAGGACAACAACTTCCTTTGCTATGGGAAGGATATTACTGCAATAACTAGCAGCATAGAAATATTAACAGTATAGAAAAATATAACTTATAGCACTGTTCATTGTCCATTATCACCACTTGCTGCCTGAGACGTCAAACTGACAGAAAACTTGATGATGCTGACACACACGAGACAGAAATATCGACTCCTGGAAGCTGAGCGAGCCTGAAGTGGTTGTTTCATAAGACTCCATCCTCAGGCAGGATAAAGTTAGCATAACATGGCTTCTATAACAATAACCCTGCACCAGTAGGTCCACTGTAAGGATCATATACTGATCTTTTAAGGCCGTTGTAACAGAGCAGAGCAGTCCGTCGGCTGTCTTTCTTCTTAAATAACCTGTGTCTTTAAGAAGTGAAGCGACCTCATATACCTCTGTCTCCAGATCAGCACGTCAAGCTTTTTGCAGTGGACTCTCAGAGCGGCCCAAACCCGGGATGTTGCATTTCTTGAGGGTTAGATGTAGTAAAAGGGGGGATGTATTCTGTGGAAGGAGGGAGGCAGATCTCACAGCCACCCAGCACCTGTACAAGAGGCGTGGCTGTGCCATGCCACTTCCTGGTGTTGGGGAGGGGGCATCTGTTTGGCTTCCATAACAGGAAGTGGACGGGTGGACAGAGTGAAGGGGTGCGGGCTGTCACCATGGAAAGTGGGTGATGAATTACAGCTAAGCTGGCACATTATTTTGGGATGATTTGGGCTCTTTCCGCTGGCAGGGAGGGGCTCTCACCCACCCAATCACTCATTGGCGATGGATGTTTGTCTCTCAGTGTGTGTGTACACTCCTGTGCTTGTGTGGGTACGCTTGTGCTTGTACATGTACATCCTGTGTGTGTGAATGTGTGTACATATGTATGAGCGCTGTGAAAAGGAACCCCCCCACCTCTTGATAAACTACGTGTGTGTTTAGTAAAACACGCACACTGTCAGCTGTGCCAGGTGTGTTTGTGTGTATGTGTGTGTGTGCGTGTATGCGTGTGTGTGAGAGCGAGAGCAGGTGAGAGTTATAAAAACTGTGGATCTAATATTTTTATTCTTTGCTAAGAAGCATCTTTTAACCTTGTATGTTTATAGCAAGTCCCTGTATAATCACTAACAGTTGTACAGTACAGACACAGAAGCCCTTTTTATTTTACAGCCGACTCAGATATCCTCCTCCAACAACACACTCCGCCATGTTGCACATCTTTCTCATCGTATAGTCCGTCCTATCATTTCACCAAGCCGTTTTCACTCTTTTTATAAATATATAAATAATGTATAGATCACTAAAATTAACTCTGTAAGATATTGTTTCTTAACATGTTTAGATATATCCACTATGATTACAGACCTGTGTTCTCTACAAAATGCTGCTTAAAAAGCATCGATTGACAGATTTTTGTATCTAGATAACTAAACTATTGTAGATTGTTATAGTTACGTTTGTAATATGCATTCAACAAAAAATACACCCACATTTGTATTAAAATTCAATATTAGTATTTTTGTATTGTCTCGTTTTTTTGTACAAAGACATAGTTGCAATGCTGTTTTTTCTGCTAAATGTACTTAGCTCTAATACATGTGCTTTTAAATAAAAAGCTCATTATGAACACAACTTTTGGTTTGTCTTCCCTGTTGATCCTGCAAATGCATGTTTAGATTATGTTAGTTTTGTACAGCTTGATGGATTCTTTTGAATATTTGCAGCTGGAAATGATCCCTTTGCTTTCCCCATTCACAAGACAATATAAAAACTGCACACAACTACAAGTACATTTACCCAGGTATTTGCTTTATTACAAATTTTAGGGACTTACGTATAACAAGTACATTCTGCTGATAATACAGTCGACAGAAGAAAACATTGGTATGGGATGATGCTGCAAACCATGAATAAGTTCCATTTGCTTGTTTCAGACATATAGCAACATTTCTAAGGTGATGTGCCAGCTGACTTTGTCATTAGACGAAGGGGATGGTGGATGGCGTGTCACCAAGGCGAGATGCCTGCCAAGCTGCAAACCACTTGTCAACACCAACCAGCAACAAAACTGGTTGTCAGTATTGTTCCAGCAGGGATAGTGCTATGAAGAGCGATTGTTTTTTACTGAGACACTGCTGCATCTGCTGCTATAGTGGCATAAAAAAGAGGTTGTTTTTTACTAAGACAATGTTGCTTTTCCTGCTAGGATGGTGGCCTGCAAAGTGATTATTTTTTACGAAGACATCCCTGATTTCCTGCAAAAAAAAGCAGTTATTTTTACCGAGACATCACAACATCTCCTGCTGGTATAGCGGCACGAAAAGTGGTTATTTTGTACAGACATTGCTGTGTTTTCTGCCGGAATAGTGGCATCAAAACCAGGTATTTTAAGCCAAAACATGATCTTTTCTTAACCATGACTAAGGGGTTTTTGTGCCTAACCCAAACCACATTAACCACAGTGTTGTTAAAATAAAAAGTTCCACCGTATCTGCAACACAATAATGTACAAATTCAACATATCCACAGTTTGCAGAAATGTACAATGCCAATATTTTCTCTGGCGATTGGGTTGTTGCGATAGTGCTGCAGGGATAAAACCTGTAAGAGAGGATTTACAGTGTGTTTTGTGCTGTTGCTACTTTTACACACTGGAAGTGAAGGATCTGAGTACTACATTCCTCCACCACTGCTTAATATAGTGCCAATGAATATAGAAGCTGCAGAAGTAACACTTTTGCAGCGGCCTCACCGTGGCCTTAGTTCCTCTTGTCAAAAATACCACATGAAATACACAAATACGACACACACTTAGACATGGGCTCAGAAGTGTGTGTGATTTCACACTTGGGCAGACACCAGACCAGAGGGGCTGGCGTCACTGCGTGCATGTAAGTGTGAGTGTGTGCCATCATGGTTTGCCATTCTGATTGAAACAAGAAGTGTCATTTTCTCCACCACAACGTCTTTCAACCAGGGAGAGAAAAGCCTGAATGACACTTCTCAAGTGTGTGTCGCCCTCTTTTTGATAACACAGTGATTAAATTCAAAAGCTGCGCTGTAATCGTGCACAGCAGCACACCATTTAAACCGCATGTACACATAACAATATTAGGTATTTAACGGGAAATTTCAGTTTATTTCAACCTGTCTCCTATCGTCCTAAATTTGTTTCAAGTGACTAGTGACATAAAAATAATAGTTAGCATGTTGGCCGTTAGCCTAGATACAGCCGGGGTGTCAGACCTGTTAAAACGTAAGTGAACGGGCAACCTTCAAGTGCAAAGTTAGTCCACTAAACAAGCTTTTTTTCCACAAAGACCACCTCATATCGTTAGGATAAATGTCAGAGAACATATAGAAAACGACATGTAAACGTGTTGTCTTACCTTACCAGTGTGCTGCCATGTTTGTTTACCATCTAGCTCTGCTTTCCAAAGCGCGGCCGAAATATATCTGGCGAGAGGCATTCCTCTTCTGTGGGCACTGGGGCACAGCATTCACAGGTACACCACCAATCTCCAGAGCTACGCAGCCTTGCAGCAGCCATTCCTCCTCTCTCGTCCTCTACCTGTTGCGCCTCTCTCTCTCTCCTCCTCCGTTCTTCAATTTCACGAAGCTCTTCCTCAGTGTATTCTGGCTCAAATAAATAAGGGCGGCCATCAAACTCTGCAAAATCAAATTCCTCCTCCACAAAGTCGAAGTCTGGCAAAAAGTCAGCCATTATTCTATAAATCTTTCATAAAATAAATGAATGAACCTTTCAGGCTACTGTCCGGTTCTGCCTTCCAGCTGTTGCTGCTTGTTCTCGCGATATTTCAGGCACGGTATGAGATCGCTGCTTGTTCTCGCGATATTTCGGCCACGCTTTGGAAAGCAGAGCTAAATGGTAAACAAACATGGCAGCACACCGGTAAGGTAAGACAACACGTTTACATGTCGTTTTCTATATGTTCTCTGACATTTATCCTAATGATATGAGGCGGTCTTTGTGGAAAAAAAGCTTGTTTAGTGGACTAACTTTGCACTTGAAGGTTGCCCGTTCACTTATGTTTTAACAGGTCTGACGCTACTATGCGCCCCGGCTGTATCTAGGCTAACGGCTAACATGCTAACTATTATTCTATGTCACTAGTCACTTGAAACAAATTTAGGACGATAGGAGACGGGTTGAAATAAACCGAAATTTCCCTTTAACACATACATTTAAAACTTTTCTGAGTAGTTTTCATGCGAAACATGATGAGGAATAAAAGAAAGGAAAAAGTTAAAAAAGGAAGAAAGACTCAGACAAGAGCTGTCGAAGCAGTGAACGACTGGTACTTACTGTATGAGCTGAATGAGTAAAAAGGCAGTCACTTAGTGCAATCATTGGACTGATGTTATCATTATAGTGGCATGTGTGTTTCCCCTCAGTGTCCTGTAAAGTGCAGTCTTTTATTGACAGTGACAGTACAGCTGGTCTGAGGTCAGTTGTAAAAAACAGCACCAAACTGAGATTTACGGTGCCTGTGAACAGCTGGTAGGCCTGGGGTCAGCCATGCGTGGCTGTAATAGTAGAGGGCCTGCTGCCGAGGCAGAGAGGCCCATGTTGTGGTCTTGTTTGGCAGCAGTGGAGCAGAGCAGAGCTGGCACGGGGCCGTCACAGGGAGGCCAAGGCATTACATAGTACCGTACCTCTCTCAGCGTAATGGGTGTGTGTGTGTGTGCTGCATCACATACTGCACAGAACATCCACTCACTGTTCTCATTTACATGAAGCTGATGTTTCCGTCATCCTAGTGTCCAAACGTGTATATATAAAAAAGGCGAGTTCCTGTTGGCATGTGGAAACCTTGTCGCTCTGTCGGTAATGTTGACATTTTAACACAAGTTGGATGGATTATGTCCTCTGTGGGCTGAGGAATTCCTCCACCCTTGGTCTTATAAAAGCTCTTCAAAACCCCTTTGGATAATCTACAGAATGCACCGTGGTCACGTTAAAAACAAGCCAGTTTTTCCTCAGTTTATATATTGGAGACACAGCTTCCACCACACGCTAATGCTTCTGCAAATATGAAGCTTTCACGCATAGTGGTCACTACAAAGGACACTGATTAAAAGCCCATTTCCTTGAATATGCATGGCTTTTGATGCCGTAGTTGAACAGCAATCATCAAAGTGGTCATCCCATACACTGCCACCCGTTGGCCAGCCTTTATAGGTGCAACACAAATCTTTTGAAAAACCAAGATGGCCGACGGAGGGACGGAGGGAACGCAATGCTCACCAGCTCATGCCAATACTTCCACAGCAGGAGACAGACCCCTGTAGGTAAGTCAAATTCAGCAACATCAAGTAACATCTAATGCCTACCAGACACCAGAGGACTGTGACAAGACTTTTTGTTGACTTTTGACACACTGTAGTCTCACACTCTTTCGCATCTACACACAATGTGAATTTTTAGTCACACATTTGCAGATCTTGCAGAGTCACGTGCAAGATTACAATTAGATTCCTTTTGAGATTATTTCCCATCTTGCTGCTGGTGGAAAATGTTATACCAAAGCCCGTTTTAAGAAATGTGACATATCAACAATCAACTTTATGTGTCTGCAAAAACACCTAACTCTAGAAACACAAGATAAAAGGTGTCACATGTCAGCAGTATTCTTGTCCGTTCGGCATCAATCTGGTTGATAAAGATAAACAGTATTTGTGCACAGAGTCGCCTCAACTCGCTACCAGCCTCTGCGTGTTAGCTGGTGGATCAGATACACACTGAATTAAAACACGGCCTCTTGTTAACTCTATGTACGAGAGAACTGAGAATTGTTCACTTGCACTTCCCCGAAGTGCCCTCCATGTTTACTGCCTGTTTGCTGCTTCCTGTTTGCTGCTGGAGTGAGTGCCCATCATTGAGCTTCACTATTTGCATGAGCCAAGACTAAAAACTTACAATGATACTTTACATGTTTGATCATACTGGAATGTCAAGATGAGAAAAAGACTGACTTAAGAGAGCTCAGAATTTTATGACCACCTCACACCAAACACATAAGATCATGGGAGCATGTGACAACTCCCGCAGAGCTCTCATGATATATATGAACATTGTCTGTGACAGGGAAATCACTTGAAAATTGGTTTGTTGTAAGGCCTGCATAAAGAAAAATACAACTTCTAAGTTAAAATTCCCAAGTACTAATTTTATGTGTGGAGAGAACCAGGAATAATCATCATCATGCATTGCCTTACATCATACAGTCACTGACTGATGATGCTTGTGGCAGTGATGATGATGAATACCTGCATATGCTATCAGTAGTGACAGTGGAGCTGAGGGAGCAATAACCCAATTGCCAGGAAAAATGTTGCCACTATATGTTTCTGCAAACCACAAATATGTTACATTTGCATGCTAATATGTAGTGGATATATTAAAGCAATGCTGTGGTTAACGGGTGGTTAGGCTTAGGCATAAAAACCACTTGGTTATGGTTAGGAAAATTCCATGTTTTGGCTTAAAGTATCCAATTCTGAGGGCATAATCCTGCTGGAAAATCAATGATGTGTCGGTTACAAACAACCACCTTTTGTGCCACTACCCCAGCTGGAAAAACGGTAACAAGACACTAAAAACACCCACA